CAATACCTTACGGTGCAACAACTGCATAAGCTCGTCCATCATCACTGCAGAAGACACCATCCAATGGAACTCGACATGGTACGGTCGCAGCGGATTGTAAGTCTTGTCAAAGTGAATCACAACCCATCCTGTTTGCGACCTGAGAGAATTAGTTGTTAGATGTTAGCAACTTATATATATATATATTATTATATATATATATATATATATATATATATATTCGAGTATGCTAGTGGGATGAGAATGGTCATGCATACTTCTTATAGATGGTCATTACTCATTCAAGGATAAAGATGCAGGCTTGATATGGTAAGGTTTTATATTTTAGCTGGTTGAATGTCCAGTCAAAGTGGATATCTATACACCTGATCTGCGATGTACAAGATATAGGGTATTCGTAAACTGAAGGATATAGGAGAGTACCACAGTACGTGATATAGAGTTTTAGGGTTCAGTTTTTAGTGAAATCTCATTCACAGATACTAAGCATGCGCAGAGACGGCATATGCCTCACATAGACATCCATTAGCCCATACAAATGCAAAGCAACGGCACATGAACAACCTTTTTAGACTTACCGAACTATATACGTGCATATGTGCAACATTAATAAAGCCGTATATATGTAACAATCAAACCACCCACATGCGAGGGAACATAAAATAATGTCAAAAATATTCATCAAATCATACACAATATAGCAGCAACAGTCGATCAAACCAAACTTATCATTCAAAAAACGCTTATTACATAGTCAAATGCAACAAAGCCTCCCGTATGTATGAAGTCAGTACAAGCATAGTGACAAACAACAAATACAGCTACAGACACAGTACTCACATGCACCCCATCGCATATATTAAACACACTCAGTCTCACAAGCACCTGTCAGGCTGAGATGCCGCATTCGAATTCGTAGACGGCATTTAACGATTTGAAGCCGCCCCAGCCAAAGGATTAGTAGATTTTCCCGAATTAAATGCGGCCAACTATATTCATCGGCGTATGCATATACATAACAACACTTGACCATTCCACATTTCTCGCAAACATATATCGCATACACTAGACACTCTCGCACAAGTACCTGTCAGGCTGAGATGGCGAATTCGAATGCATGGACGAATTTTTGGGATTTGAAGCCGCTCCTGTCGAATTATTGAAAGTGGTCGAATTTGGTGTGGCCAACTTCTTGCGCATGTTGCGGTAATCGGGATCGGACGTTTGGGCCATGAGGCGTTGTATGTCTTTGGTGCGGTCGTATACCACACACTCAGACATCCACAGATCTGTCATCGGCTCACTTGACTGTGAACGATCGAGCCAGAGTGTTTAGTATGTACACTATAAGCATCAATACATATATATATATATAAATATATATATAAATGGCCTAAGTATATCAAAGATTCGTACTGGTGAGCTAAAGCAACTGTGATTTGGGACGTATACCATACACTCCGATATCCATATATCAGTCATGGGCCCACTTGACAATGACGGATTATCGAACAGAGCTATTCAGG